TCTGATATATATATATATATATAAAACTTTTATATCATATATTGTTATTTAACAAATAAAGAATACAAATGATAGAATGTAATAATAAAAGGCCTAAATCATATTAAAAAATGTGAAGAAAACTTTCAGTCTTTTTCTTTTAAATTGATTTTCTATAATTATTTTCAATAATATAAAGCTTAAGGTAAGATAAACTTTATGTCATATAATATTTATTCAATATTAAGGCAATTATTAATAAACATGATTCAGGCCTTGACATGAACTCACCTTACCCAATCAGCAGTTCCCGCATTGTTTCCAATTTTATCCATGTCCACATTGAGAAAACTGACATGAACCATCAGATCAGTCCGTACAGCTCCCGCAGCAATAATCCTACCGCTTTCATCTAGAGTTACGTCTCCCAGAAGATCACTGAAATTCATGGCGTGACCCAATGTGGGGCTCACTTTTACTGTATTTACCTTTATGATAATATCTTCTGTAGAATCTTTTTCAATTTTAGCGCTATCAAAATCCCATATATCTAAGATACTAAACAAAAGGCAACTCATAGGTAAACTCTCAATTATACTGCAATATAAATTACTATCGACATGAATGACAGGTTCAAAGGTTTGATTAACTTTAGAAGAGAGATCATCATCAAAAAAATTGTCTTCGAAAAGAGAACTTTGTCTCTTACTTCTCTTTGTAACACCAGAGATAACAGGAATCCTGTAAATAAAAATTTCCTTTATATATATGTATAATTGATCGTTTTTTTTTACATTCATATCAAATTTTACAATATGCAATAAAATCAATTTTTTAATAAAAATTTTACAATTTAAAAATTTATACTTACTTCATACAGACATCTGTCCAAGAAATGTTCTCGATCGGTGTCTGAGTAGAAATCATTTGTTTAGTGATTTCATTTAACTGCAACAGATTACAAAATATATTCTGCATTATTAGTAGATCTGTTCTTTTTAGATAAATCTCTAAGAGCACGATTCACCTTTCTTTTTTTCATGTTGAAAAAAAGGAAAGAAAAGATAAACTGTGCAAATTTAGTCAAAAGAATAGACCCAATCAATTACATGACAATTAAGAATAAATCGAGAATCAATTGAGATAAATCATCTCTTTATATAATTACCCTAATAAGCGTTTGCTGTTCTAAAACATTGTCATCAGTTAAAATAAACGTTTGAATTCGCAGAGTTTCTAAGTAATGTGACATTAGCCATTCAGTAGTCGTCACAAAGTCAGAATCTGGTGGAACCCAAAGTTTGATGGGATTCTTTTCCTGTCGGAAACGAAACAGGCCTAGGACACACACTAATACTACCACAAAACATCCGAGCATCCATTTGTATGGACTTTGAGCGATGTGTACTCCAAGCCTATAGACAAAAACGACAACGTTGCTCCATTGTTAAACTGTTCGGCACTTAGTTTGTTGAAATATTCCAAGGCAGGAACTTACTGATAGAACAAATGTTCTACCGTCCTGGATATGCGTTCTGGTAGACTGTGCCAGAATCTACGGCACGATTGTATTTTAACCCGATCTTCGTGCAGCTCCATTTCTTCCTTGGCCACCATATGGCTGTGCTCCAAGATTCACTGTCAATACTGAAAATTCAAAATACACGTAGATTTTCAGCTGGCAATGGATTTTGGAACACAATTGAAACAGTCGAAAAAATCAGCGGATTACCCAATATAGCGTCTAGTCGACGCGAACCCTTGCCAACTGACAGGACACACATCACATGACACACTAGTGACAATTGCACTAGATGACTAATCGCGATTAATTACTATTACGATGCATTTATTTATATTGCGACCATCACAAATTTATACGTAACCGCGATTCTCGGCGATACTGTTTAACTTTGATAGCGTGCTATAACCTATAACCAATAACCCCCAAAATCTAAATGGCGACACGGCGCTCATATCTCCGAGTTCGTATCAAATTACAAAAATCTGCTGACAACACGCTGTTGCGAGCGTATGCTCGTTGCAGATACGGGATATCTAAAATATTCAACAAGCTGGCATTGTTATTCACAACGCGAAAAGACCATTACATTATTTACATTTGTTGTCTGCTAGTGCATCTGTATCGCGAATGCGCGATTGGTCGATTGTTAAAGGCAGCTCGAAACGAAAACAACGTAAAGATACCTTTTTATGCTTTACTCGACGCTTATTTTTAGTGTTAAAATAGGCGATCAAAAATGATTAAAATTAACGCTAAAAATGGTCTATTTTGATATCAAAAATGTATATCAAGTATCACCATAAAATTGTACCTTTATAATAAAACTCGAGTTGAACACCTCTGTGCTAGAAATTACAGCGCGGTGCGCACAACGATCTGCGCATTATGTCATTTGAATCAGTCTGAAAATCGGTATGAATATCGCGTCGCGTGCGATCAGAAATTCGCCTTGGATTTTCGCGTTGTTTAATTGTTCAGTGTGCTACAGTGTGTTGGGATCGCCAATGTCGTATCAACGGATCGATTAGCGTCGAAATTAACATCGGAGTCGTATATAATGGAGGTATGTTAAACCGTATGTATATCGTACACAACAGAATAAAGGTACTTTTTTATGCTTTACTCGACGTTTATTTTTAGCGTTAAAATAGGCAATCAAAAATGATCAAAATTAACGCTAAAAGTCTATTTTGATGCCAAAAATGTATATCAAGTATCACCATAAAATTGTACTTTTATAATAGAACTCGAGTTGAGCACCTCTGTGCCAGAAATTACAGCGCGGTGCGCACAACGGTCTGCGCATTACGTCATTTGAATTAGTCTGAAAAGTTTGAATGTCGCGTCGCGCGCGATCAGAAATTCGCCTTGGATTTTCGCGTTGTTTAATTGTTCAATGTGATACAGTGTGTTGGGATCGCCAGTGTTGTTTCGACGGATCGAGTCGATTAACGTCGAAATTAACATCGGATTCATATATAATGGAGGTATGTTAAACCGTATGTATATCGTGTACAACAGAATAAAGGTTTCAATACAAAGATGGTCATAACTGAGTCACGAAACGTGAGTCGTAGTCATAGGTTAACGAACAATGTTTTGATCAACCTACAACTACGACTTAAGTTCCACGACTTAAGTTACAATCATCTTTGCTTAGGTCCTAAGTTATTTATCGAGAATGCTAGATTAAGTTGAAAACAAATAATTGTACTCGTTAACGATTGTTTGTTTTGTGCATATTACGCATAATGTATCATTTTATTCTTATTTTTATTATTCATCGAATGTTATATAAAAAAAGATAAAATGCTACATCATGCGCATTATGCAAAACGGTGTACCTCCTGTATTTCTTCACAATGCAGTCGCAACAAGTATCTGGTATAACATAAGATAATATGTGTATGTGTATTTATGTGAAAAGTGTTAAAGTATGAGATTTATTAATTTTTACTTTCATTAACTCTTATTTTTACGCTTTATATTTTCAAGAGTTCTCTGGACCTTTTCTTTTTTTCTCTTATTTTGTATTATATGTCTTTTTATATTACCTACAGTACAGAATTTTCAATATTGCTGCAAACTCTCTGCGATGTTGCTGCAACGTGCAATGTTTTATGCTGTAGGGGTATTGACTATATATTGGGTAGTTAAATACTCTAAAAGATTTTAAGGAATGATTCTTTACACAAATTCGAAACGATAACTTCATGTATTTCGTCCCAAATGGCTGTAGAATTTCAAAGATACAAAATGTCAAAGTTGAAGGAAAAAATTCGTCTTTTTTAAAAATTTCGAAAACTGTTTGAATTATTTTGATGAAATTTTAATATATTAATATACAAAATTTATATATTA